AGGAAGGAGATGGGAGTCCTGGGATGGTCTGCGAAGCACAGGTGGAAGGATGAGCTTCCATAGGAAAAGGGAGGGTGTCAGAGGGAAGGAGGGTCAGGAAAACCCAGCTGTAGACACATGTAGGTCCCTGAAGGGAAACTGTCGGAGATCAGTCCTGCTGGGCTGTATTTCTCTGTGAAGTGGTAAACAGTGTCATGTGAGGAGGGCGCGTGCCTGTCGTGCCTCGTAGGGCACCCCTCCCCTCTGTGAACGGTGGCAACTGTGGTACCCACCACGTCTTTCACTGTCAGGCCTCCATACTTATGGTTCTCACCAGGGACCCACTGCTTTCTTTTCTTTTCTTTTTTTAAATATACTTTATTTATTTTTTACAGAGAAGAAGGGAGAGGGATAGAGAGTTAGAAACATCGATCAGCTGCCTCCTGCACACCCCCTACTGGGGATGTGCCCGCAACCCAGGTACATGCCCTTGACTGGAATCGAACCTGGGACCCTTCAGTCCGCAGGCCGACGCTCTATCCACTGAGCTAAACAGTTAAGGCTGTTTTCTTTTCTGAGGTGCCACCTCCACCGCTCCTGGCTGTCCTGCGAGTCCACAGGACTCACCTCCACTTTCTCTTCTCTAGATGGGTAGCATAGCATGGTGGGTGGCTATGAATGACGATGGTGCAGCCCAGCTGCCTAGGCTCTGATCCTGGCTCTGCCCCTTACTTGCTGTGTAATCCCGAGGGCGTCATCTAGCCCCAGTGAGCCCCTCTTCTCGTGTATGAAATGGTGAAAATAACAATAGTCCCTACACTGGTTTCCTGTGAAGAGTCAATGAGCAAGTGCAAGTAAAATGCTCAACACAGCACCTGGTACATAATTAAGGGCTAAGTGCGTTCGTTATTTTAAATATCATTTTAATTAAAAATGTAATTTTGCATTCCATCATGGAACAGATTTTTTAAAAATAGGTCAAGGGATTTGACTGTAGGGGTGGTGCCTAGATGTTGCTCAACCAACTTGAAGACAACTCCCAGCTGTAGATTGTAACTATATTTACTGTGCTTTAGGGCAAAGTCTCTTCCCCACAGAGAGACAGTGTTCAAAAGTCAGCAGCCCCAGTTGGCACGTTCCTGGCTGGCAAGTTCAACCTTGCCGAGAGCTCTCAGAGCCCCAGAAAACAGTGAAGGTACTGGGGATCGCTAAAATACGCGAAGGAGGCCAGGAAAATATTCACAACCTGTGAAACTTAAATCCCAAGAGGAACCTTCGAGGCTCCCTCAGCGGGAAAGCGGAGACCTGGAAGGAGTAAGACTTCACCTAAGGTTATGTGGCTCGAATTCTCCGAGGCAGAGAGACCTTCCTTTCCTTGTCCCCAGGGTCAGAGCCAGATGCACCCACACATCACTAGCCTCGCTATGGGGCCAGACCCTGGGCTTGGCACTGTGCCTGCATCAGCTCATTGAATCTCCCTGGAGTCCTCTGAGGCATTTCCACTATCACCCCCATTTCACAAATCAGGAATGAGTCTAGGAGAGAAGAGCCTTGCCCAGATCACGGCTGGGAACTATCAGGGCTGGGTGCTCCTCACTCCTCTGGTCTCCCTTATATTGTCAGTTACACGCCCCCCAAGAAAAAAAGACTTCAAGTCTCAGCCAGTGGCAGCACCCCCAGAGGTCAATCATCTGAAACAAAGATGTGCTCACTTGGACCTGGACCCATAGCGTCCAGCCGACATGTCCCCAATGGACACGTTCTCAGCTAGCAGGAGCAGTTGTGATAAAAAGAAAAAAGAAAAAGAAAGAAAGAAAGAAATGGGGGGAGGGGTGCGAGAGATAGTGCCAAAGACTGGGTCTTTGCTATATGTTTTTTTAATTAAACTTTTTGTTTTGATGTAATAGTGATTCACATGTAGTTGTGAAAAATAATGGAGAGGAATCCCATGGGCCCTTACCCAGTTCTCCTCGATGTTGACATCTTACAAAACTATAAGACAACATCACTACCAGGAAGTTGGCATTAGTACATCAGACCTCAGAACATCCTATAACCACAAAGATGCCGCATGTTACCCTGGTGTAGCACACCCACTTCCCCTACCCCACCCTGGCAACCACGTTTCTATTCTGCGTTTCTCAATTTTGTCATTTCAAGAGTGCCGTAGAAATGGAATCCTATAAGAAGTCATCTTTTGGGACTGACTTTTTCATCTTTGACTTTGAATGGGCTTCTTCTGTTGACCAGTGCTCTGGGGTTGGGTCTGGTCCAGGAGAGATAGCCCTATCCACCTCTTTCCTGGGGGCAACAGGAAAGTAGAACTTTTGGTGATTTTAGATCTTAAGCTCTTAAAAAAAAAAAAAAGGCCGGCCCGGCTGGCATGGCTCAGTGGTTGAGCGTCAGATGTGCCCGGGTTGCTCGAGCCCCAGTAGGGGGTGTGTAGGAAGCAGCCAATTAGTGATTCTCTCTCATCATTGATGTTTCTATCTCTCTCTCCCTCTCCCTTCCTCTCTGAAATCAATAAAAATATATTTAAAATATACATACATACATACATACATACATAAATAATAAAACAAAGACCATCGTGATTGGGCCAGAATGGTTACTTGAGGGGAGGGTTAGGGCCCTCTGAGCTTCAGTTTCCCCATGAGGTTTGGCCCTCCTTTTTGCTCCAAACGCCACTTTCCCTCTGTCCCTCTTGCCTTCTGCCCCAGCGGTGGCTCCCACCAAGGGCCTGCCCTTTCCCCGACACATCTGGCAGCTCCTTCCCCAGGCCCATCTACAGCCATTGTGTAAACAAGGTTTACGTGACCACGACATGGAAAATGAAGCCAAGAGCAGGAAGCCACTTGGGCCGTCAGAGCAATTAGACCCAAGAACAAACTCCCTAAGGGGCCTCGTGTGGCCAGGATGTCTTGGATCAACAGAGCAAGGGGGCAGGCCATTTCAGGAAGGTGGTGGTCTAGCGGGCTCCGGCCCTGTGCGCTCATGAAGACACATTCCCTGCAACCAGGGTCCAGCGATACTGAATGGAGTGCTCTTAGCAGGGCTGCCAGCCCACGGAGACCCAGACCGCAACAATGGGGGATTAAACAGGAGAGAAGCTTATTGACTTCCCAGTGTCACCAGCTCCATGTGCTCCACTGCATCTTGTTGCTTTTTGTTTCTGGGGTGTGGCTGTCATCCCTGGGGCCCCAGCTCCCTCCTTACTCTGCTTGTGTTCTGGTAGGTGGGAGGAGGGAAATAGGACAAGCCTTGACCGGAGGATCACACCGCATACTTCTCACTTCCCATTGGCCAGAATGTGGTCACATGACCAGACCTAACTGCAAAGAAGGCTGGGGGATGTAGTCTTTATTCTGGGTCCTTGTATTCCAAATGAAACATTCAGGGTTCTATAGGGGAGAATAGGAGCTGAGTAATGAATAATAGGCAGGTTCCTCCTCCCAAAATAAGGATAATGAGAGCCATTCTTCAGACAGAGTGCTTATTAAGGTTAATCGGGTTAAACATGTAGTGTAGCGCACACACATGGAAAGAAAGAGCTCAGAAGTGTTAGCCATTCTTCTTTTCACTAACTGAGATCTTGCACATGATGCCAGACACGGTGCTGGGTCCGTGTCTGCTCAGCGGTGCTACAGTTGCCATTGCTCTCATGGTTAGCCTCCGTTCTCGACAGACTGCAAGCCCAGGGCTCTCCTTCCAAACAGGGCTCCTTGCAGACCCTGGACAAGCAACCACTCTGGCCATGCACCGCCCCTGTCAGGCTCTTGTCCTCTCAGTCCCCAAACAAGTGGCCTTAGCCCTGCAGGATTCACGCCAGCTCCGCTGCAGGAAGTGCTAATCCGCCTCACGTGGCTCTCCACAAAGGGCTGCTCTGCCTGCTCTGTCCCCAGCAGGGGAGGAATCGGGGATGGCAGGGCTGACCCAGAATCGCCTCTCCCGCCTCGGAGTGGATCTGAGTTCCAGCTGCGGCCTGTAGGGGCGGGAGCAGAAGAGAGGTGTAGCCTGCATTGCAGATCAGATTGGAACACAGTGGGCACTCTGGCAGCCTCACGGGGCAGCTGGAGGCACATTTCCTCCCATGGCCCCTCTGCTCCCCTACCCAATACCGACACCAGGCGGCACTTCTCCAGCCAGCCAAGAACCCGCTGGCAAGGATGAGGGAAATGAGACAGGGGATGTTGTGGCCTCACACCTACCCAGATAGCCCGAGAGAGTTCTAGAGACTTCTCACCCAGATTTTGTGGGGGCAATGCCCCACCTGGGGCCACAGTGAGCAGGCGACTCACTGTTCCCTTAGAGGCAGGAGGCGTGAAGCCAGGGAAAACAAGGAGAGGGTGTCAGGGTAGCCTCGTGGAAGGCTGGGTCGGATTCTGAGACATAAGCAGGGGCGGTGTTAGAGTTGGGTCCTGGGAAACCTGATGATGGAGGAGGGAGGACCCAGCCTCTGGGCATGTCCCCTGGAGAGGCAGTGGGCATCCCTGTCTGGGTGGCAGGCAGCCTTCTGCAGCCCAGAGGACATGGAGACTGGAGCCCACCACAGCCCAGACCTGCCCTGGAATTGGTTCCTCCGGAAGCCCATGGGGTGGTGACTCGCCCCTGCGTGTTGTGTGTGCCCTCACCCACTTCTACCAGGTGGACACTAAGCAAGGGAAGACAGGCTTAGAGAAAGCAAAATCCACGCGACTCACACCAAAATACCTTCAGAGCTGTTCCTGAGCCAAATCTGTAAGCAATACAATGGTGCCTATATAAAAATATACACCTTAGCACTGGGAACTGTGTGTAGGCACGTGTGTGAATGTGGGCTGCATAGAACAAAGCCTGTGAAGAGAGGCATCAAAACAGTGCCGGTCTGGGTCATGGAAGGGCTGGCCAGGCGCCTGCGCCCCAGACCGAGCTGACTGATGGAATCAGCTGTTCAGGCCAAAGCAGAAGGAAGATCTAACAGACAATAGGGAAGTCCCCCACCCCTGAACTAATGATAGAAACCTCTCTCTTTTTTTCTTCAGGTCGACCTTTATAACACGGACCCCCTCATCTGCCGGGCAGGGATGAAAGTGAGCTTCGGCATGCAGCTGCTCAATGCTGTCTCCAGGGTGGAGCGGGCCTTCCCCAAGCTGACCTTGCCCTTCCTGCTGCTCCAGGGCTCTGCTGACCGCCTGTGCGACAGCAAAGGGGCCTACTTGCTCATGGAGTCCGCCAAGAGCCAGGACAAGACACTCAAGGTGAGCACCTGACCTCCCCACTTCCCCAAGGTGGGGAGGTGGGGAAGGTGGCATCCCTTTGGGCACATCTGCCCAGAACCCCAAGGGGGCTCATCTTGGGAGGCGGCCAGCTTGGCCCCACTGAAAAATAAATACCAGAAACACAAGGTGGCTGTTAATTCTAAGCAAGAACACAAGCCATTAGCCAACTGTTCCTGGGGAGAATACTCAGACGATGTCTGGGTCAAGGAAAAACCCAAACTGGGCACTGGGCAAAGAACTGTCTCTGAGAGCCTGTCTCCCGCTTCTCCATGTCCCAGGTCCAAAGGCGTGTGGCTGCCCAACCTCTCTGCAGGTTGGTTTTCTGCAGCAGCTTGGGACCAGCCACCCCTGCCAGGGGCTCTGGGGGTACCAGCGCAGTGGGCATGGCAGGGTCTGGTCTGCAAGGGCATATGCAAGAGGGGATGGGACCTGCGGCTTAGCCACATGGCCTGTCAGACACACAGACCACAATGAACTAACTTGGAGGGCCTTCGAGATGGAAAATGTTGTTTGGAGAGTCCAGACATCTCTGTTTTTTGTTTGTCTAATTGAACTGGGAAGAGCCCCAGTTGCGGGGGTGGGGAGGAGGAGAAGCACCTACTGTGTGCCTGTCAAGTGACCGTTGACCACAGCCCCAGGATACCGATGATGGACATGTGTCCCCAAACTATGCCACGACAGCCTGTGCAGTAGTCACGTGGAGGCCGAGTCCAGGACCATTTCCTGCTAAGCTCTAAAGAGAACAGGCAACTAACTCACCACAGATCCCACACTTACTGAGCGATGGGGTCAGAATGCGAACTCACTCCCACTGACCCTCTCCATTCCATACGGCACTGACAGGCGCTCATGGCAAACTCAAGTGCCCCCCTCACACCATTATGCATTGCAGACCCTGGCCCACACCCGCTGCCAGATATAGACTCGTGGGTGAGCAGAAAGCAGGAGAAAAAAGGAAAACCGGCTCTTAATAACGCTGGAGAACGTGAAAGGCCGTGGCCACTTCGCGTTGGGTGAAGGCGCCTCACGGATCGTGCCCTTTGCCGGATGGAACCTTGGCGACCCACAAAGGGAGGCTGTGTAGAGTGCTCACTTGTTCATTCACTCTCCATTCATTCGTTTCTTCTTTAACCCAAGTGTTCAGTGGGCATTGACCTTGTGCCAGGCCCAGAGAGCAAGACAGGCAAAGTCTCAACCCTCTCACACAGTCTGTCCTAGTGGATGGGCAACAAACAAACAACCAGACAGGATGATGGTGATGAAGAGGGTCAGGGTCCTGAAGGAAATCAAGCAGAGAGCGGAACAGAGAAACTAGAGAAGAGGTAAAGCACCCACCCAGATGGGCCGGCAGGCCTAGGAGCTGACAGTGACCAGAGCGGTGGTGGAGCGTTCCAAAACAAGGGAGGGGCAACTGCAAAGACCCAAGTTGCAAAAATATTGGTGTACGCAAGCACTCGGGAGACCAGTGTGGTGGAGTGTGCGAGCCGGGTGAGGGGGACCTGGCAGCAGAGGAGGGGTCCCAACTCTTACTGCGATGAAGCCAACAGCGTGTTCCGAGCTGGACAGCAACAGGCTTTTGCTATGGTTCTCAAAGCATCCCTCAGCTGCCCTGCGGAGGCAAGAGTGGAGGTAGGGGCACTGGTGGGAAGATGGTGGTGTCACCCAGGCCAAGAGGATGAGCTTGGCCCGAGGCAGTGGTAGTGAAGGCAGGGGACAGCCTGGCAGGACCTGGAGAGAGAGTGACTGTAGTGATCAAGTGACTCAGTGACCCCTACCCTGAGATGGGTGATACAGGGAGTCCCATTTTGAGATGCCCGTTGAAGAGGCTATTGTGAATTTGGGGAAAGAATTGAAAGAAACTACAAGAGGAAAGTATTTCTAGAAGGTTAACAGCTTCCGAATGATGCTAAGAAGACACTGTGAGAGCAAGTGTTCCCTGGCTACAACTAAAGGTCATTGTAGCCCATGCCGTTACAGTTGGTGTGGGTTAGTGGGAGTGAACGTAGACTGGGACCAGCTGAGGTCCAGGTGGAAGGCGAGTAAGTGAAGACAAGGAATGGAAACCAGGGTTTTGAGACAGAGGCACAGACCAGGTCACAGCTGGAGAGAGAAGCGGATAAAGGGAAGGTGTGTGTTGGTTTAAGAAAGGAAGTGCTAGATCATGTTGGCACATTTTAATTCATCTGATCAAAAGGTACTGGCACCATAAGGATGGAGTCCTGGGGGCGTGGGGAGTGTCTGGGGGACTCTGGCTGCCACCTGTGGCCTCCCTCCCCGCACCTGTAGCTTCCTGTAGCCCTGACTTCCTGTCTCTCCTAATTGCAGATTTACGAAGGTGCCTACCACGTTCTCCACAAAGAGCTTCCTGAAGTAACCAACTCCGTCTTCCATGAAATAAAGATGTGGGTCTCTCAAAGGACAGCAGCGGCGAGAACAGGGTCCCCACCCTGAGCGCACGTCCAGGCCCCCGGCCCACAGCTGGGGAAGTGGGCAGAGGAAGGGCAGAAGCTGACCTCTCAGATGTGACTTAAAAAAAAATTACGAATTGGAGGAATCCCTAGCATAATTCACTAAAGAAAAAAGGCACTCTTGTCCTACGTTAGGTTGTCCTGTCCCTGGATCTACCTGAAGGGGTAGACTCTTTATGCAAAAACAGAGAAGGGTCGTGAAGGCAGTTTTCCAGAGACGGAATGTGCTGGAATATCCTTAAAACACAGCACAGCCTCTGCCCTGCCTCTCCTAGCTCCCGCAGGGTTCCCAGGGATTCCTGGTGTTCCGGGACACCTGACTGCAATAATTGGAGGAGTCCCTCTCCTGCTCACCCCTCCAGCCACCTCCCACCCCCACCCCCACGGCCTCAGGCTGGCCTCTCTCTGGCCATGGTGGTCGGCCCCAGCTTCCCAGGCAGACTCACATGCCCCCTGAGGCCCAGAAAATGCCTCACGCTTCCTCAGAATGCATCGCCCCCATGACCCCTGTCAGCTCCCGGTCAGCAGGAGCTGGGCGTTGGGGTGGCATGAAACATGGCTGGAGACCCTGCTCTCCTTCCTTCCCTTCAGGGGGCCTGAGGCTGCCCACCGAGAGCTGGGTGTTCAGGGGCTGCCTTTCCTTCCATGACTTGTTGTACTTGACACTGAGATGATTGTATTGAAGAGGAAAGTATCTTCTAAAGCAGAGACGATGTGTAGACGGGTGGTGGGACCAAGGGGGCTCGTGCCTCCGCACAGGAGTGGGGACAAGCTAGCCTGGGGACCCTGTGCTAAAGGCATCCAGGCACAACCCCGGAGGCAGGCCCCAGCGCCCGCAGTGGCAGTGGCAGTGGCAGGCTTGTCCCTGGCCCCCACTGCTTGGGCTCACAGCAGCCCCGGAAGCTCAGTGCTGGCAGCACAGCTACCTCTGGTGGCAGGAGAAGGGAGTCCCAACTCGGTGGCCCTGCAGCCAGGTGGGCGGTGGGCAGGCGAGGCTGGCGAATAGGGCCAACCTTTCCTACTGAGGCCCGCACCTGACCGGCCTTTCTCAGGTGCCAACCCCCGCCCGCAGCCCTCACTTAGTGCCAGCAATAAAGGGGATCACTGCCCACTGCAGGAATACCTTCCCTCTCAGTCAGCCTGGCCGTGACCTCAGGAGGCCCCTTAGTGTAACGATGACTGTGTGGGGGCCGGGGCACTGGAGGGCAGTTGCTGGGAGTTGAACCCCATGGCAGGTGCAGGCAGGAGCCCTAGGCTGCAGAGGCGCAGATTCCCTGCCAGGGCCTCTGACTCTGGGAGTTGGGTCTCCCACCCTCTTCCTCTAGCAGCAGAACTGCCCCTCACCCACACCCTATTCTAGGGCTTTCTCCAGACCTCCAAGAGGGGAGCCCCTCTGCCCTCCCTCCAGGGACCTGCCCACACCATGGCGAGGCTAGAATTGGTCCCCTTCCAGTGGGCAGCCCGGTCATGCTTGCTTGCCCGGGCCCAGGTTTGTGTTCTCCTGCCCCTGCCCCTCGGGAGAGGTGAAGTGCCCAGGCCCCCACCCCCTGGGGGCAGAGCCCAGGGCCCCACAGAGAGGGGCTCCCCTTGCCCCGTCATGTTTCTCTGGATTCCCTTTGGGGGGGGGAATGTAAGAATGCACTGAGAGAGAAGGTTGGTGCCTGTTGAGTTGGGCAGCTGTGTGAATGTCTGTGCTCCGCAGCTAAGGAAAAGCAGAAACTACATTGCAAACTACCAAACGCAGAAACTACATTGCAAACTACCAAACGCACAAGACCCCCTGAGCCCAGACCAGGAATTCTCACCTGAGCCTCCCACCCTGGTCCCAGCTGACCACCCTGCCTTTGCCCTTTCACCCCTGCCCCACCTCTCCTGAAAGCAGTGACTGCAATACCATCTCCCAAATTAAATATTAGGCATGAATTTATTTATATGAAAGTTTTTACAGAGACAGATTCAATCGCATTTACATATCTGGTTAAAGGATCAGCTATATTAAAAAAGAAAACAATTATTTGAACTGGGACTGAATCCAAATTGAGGAGAGGGGGTGGTACCATGCCAGGCCCACCTGCTGAGTGAGCGCACACCTGCTGTGTCTGGAGCATCATCTGAAGTGCTCCAGGCGAGTCTCCAGTTGAGTTCGCTCTCAGTGTTGACGGCTGCGAGCTGACACCTGGAGCTTCAGAGTCGTGCCATGGCTGTGGCGCGGAGGGGCTGGGTTTGGAAGGGAAGCTAGGTCTCCCACACAGCCTGGCCTTGAAAAGGTGAGAGGAGGGCAAAGGCGGCCAGGGAGGAGACCCCAGCGATGCCGCTGATCCAAACCCACCTGGAGGGATGGACACATGGGGATACTAAGCCCGAGCACTGACGTGGACACAGCGCCTCTCCCTGCCACCCCGAGGTCACGCTGGTCCATACAGAAATGGGTTTCAGACCCGGAAAATATTTCTAGGCAAAAATGTCACTTGCAGCCAGTGGGGGCTCCCAACCCCAAAGGGCCCCATTCCTCTGCAGGGATCGGGGTGTGTGGATGGGCAGCCTCCCTTCCACCCACTGGCAACCCCAGCTTCCCCCTCAGCTTCTGGGGGGCGCTGGGGCTCACAGCAAGAGCACAAAAGGGTGCTCTGAACACCCACCTGGCTCTGCTCAGCACCCTGTAGCAAGGCTCTGAGCTACCTTTTCTTTCTCTCGCCGTTGCTAAGAAAAACCCATTAGGATCACAATGATTTTCTAAGCAATTCACCTGTTTGCTATTGTCACTGCAGCTCAACACCCCCTATGTGTATGCTGTTAGTGGGGACACATGTATCAGTTTAAAACTATTAAAGGAACCAATATGCCACAGCTAATCATAATAAACCGATGTTTTCTGAATGGTGTTTTCTGTCTGTCTGCCTGATCCGAGACTGCAACAGTCCCTGCAGAGAGCGCAGCGCTGAGAGCCTGGGCTGAGCCCATCCTCTGATGCAAACCTACGTATGTGGGCCCGATTTTCTGTCCTCCACACTCGGGGACGTTTGCCCTGAAGCAGAGTGAGCATGTGTTCTGTTACGTGGCAGACTCGGCCACCTGCATACAGAGGAGCTGGGCCACCAGCTCTGGACTACACTTCCTCCGCAGCGCCACCCGGATGCCTCACACCCCAGAAACAAGCTCTGATCTTAGCCACGCCGGCTCCGCCCAGGCCTCATTCATCTCAGCACAGGGTACCCCAGCTCTACTGCTGCTCAGCCAAAGCTCCGAAGAGCATCCTCCACTCCTCTCGGTCCCACACTTGCACCTGACCCAGCAGTAAATCTTGTCACTTCTGCCTCCGTTTCCCTCTGGCCCCACAGCTGACCACCCTGCCTTTGCCTTCTCCCATGTCCACTGTCCCCAACATGACACTTTGCTCCCTGCTGGCCACCTTCTCCATGAAGCCTTTCTCGATCACCCTACGGTCTCCCCATCACCCCAGGTCCTGCCCTGCCCTGCCTTCTCCTCCTCTGATTGGCACCTGTTCTGCTTGTCTACGCAGTAGCTCTCTGTCCTCACCACCCGAACAAGCTGCAGGAGGCTGTGTCCTTGCGTTAGATCTCCATCTGATTTCTGGGGGACCCCTGATGAGATACCTGTCCAGAGAGGGACGGTGAGAGGGATGCAGGCCCTTCTGGAACAGCACTGAGCCTGGCACTGAGGGTCGATTTCACGTATGTGCAACCTGTGCGGTCCGTCCCTGCGGCCCACACTTAGCAGAGCCCCGTGTCTTGTTTATTGCTCTGCTGTTACTGTCTTGAAATTCTCAGTCATTTCTGGACATGAGCCCCACATATTTCTTCCCTACTGAGCTCCACACACGTGAAGCAGGTCCTGTGGGTGTGGCTGGAGCTGGCCCTGCCCTCTGTGCAGAGGTCCCTCCGACAGGCAAACCTGAAGGACAGAGGCCGCTCCCCCCAGGCGCTCCCTTTCTGTTCACCCCTGACCAAATTCTGCTCTGAGCCAGAGTCAAACCTGGCCTTTCCTGCCTCGGGTGAGTATTCGGGGCTACAGGAGCTCCCCACCGAGCACTCGTGGTGTGCCTGCCAGACACCGTGCCTGGCCCTGGGGCTGCCCCACAGAATGAAGACAGGGTGACACAAACCTGCTGTGGAGAGCGGCCACGGTGTTTGGACAGGTTCAAGCCTCAGACTAATGAGAGGGCACAGTCCTCTCATGACAAAGCCACGTGCAAGTCCCAGCTTGGAGGGCAAAGCCCTCCCAGCCCAATTATAGCCAAAGGCTATAGCTGTAAGCGTGACCTTATGGTCCGAACCTGTGGTCCCACGTGGCTGAGTGATGTGAGCTTGATAGAGTTCAGGCGCATGTAATTGAGTGGATTCGAAACCCATGAGAACGTTGTATCCACGCCCTTACTTTGCCTCGTGGAATCTGACTATACCAGGGGTGGGCAAACTTTTTGACTCGAGGGCCACAATGAGTTCTTAAACTGGACCGGAGGGCCGGAACAAAAGCATGGATGGAGTGTTTGTGTGAACTAATATAAATTCAAAGTAAACATCATTACATAAAAGGGTACGGTCTTTTTTTTTTTTTAGTTTTATTCATTTCAAACGGGCCGAATCTGGCCCGGGGGCCGTAGTTTGCCCACGGCTGGACTATACAATAAAGACACGGCTTGCAGGCTGTGGCGCTGTCTCTCCATCAGAGAGCAGCGTCCCACTCAGCCTCAGCTTTATTCTCTTGTCTGTCTTTTCTAAATCCTTCACCGCCCCCTCTCAGGCTCACCCATGGCCGTGCCGGCTCAGCACAACCTGCCACTGCAGCACTGAAGAGCGGAGGGTCAAGAAATGGGACAGGGCACGTAGGGGCCTGGCCGGCAGGCCAGTGTTCCCTCCAGGGAAGGCCCTGTGGAGATCAGGGAGATAAGTGGGTGTGGGAGCTCATGGGGCTCAGGGGAAGACTTGGTGGTAGAGGTTGGTCCCAGACCTGGGACTTTCAGGATGGCTGGGGAAACCTAGGGCCCCCTCCCCAGCACCCAAACAAGGACAGTGGTGAAGGGAACCCCTGGGGTAGGTGCAGTGCTGGGCCAGCCACAGGGGGGCCGACAGCTGTGGCTGGAGGGGGTGTCACTGGAGCAGCACTGCTCAGCCTGTGGCTTCAGGTAGAGGACACAACCAGACCAGGATGGAGGCTCGCGGGAGGAGGCAGCAGGAGTCTCTCTCCTCCCCCTTTCGCTCTCCTGAACCTGCAGTCTGGAGCAGGCAGCTTCCAGCCCGCATTCCAGAATGGCTGCTCCAGCTCCTGCCCCTGCATCCTGGTTCCAGCCAACCAGAGGGGAAGGAGGAGAGGGGCAGGCCTGGGCCTTTCAAGGAACAAAGCAGAGCTCACATCTAGTACTTCAGTTCCCATCTAGAACTGGGGCAAGGAAGGCTGGGAAATAAGCCAAGTGCCCCCGAAAAAGGCCTCAGAATCAAGGAGAGCCAGCAGGCTGTGCCCAGGAACGAAGCGTGCACACCAAGGCTTTCAAGGAGGGGACTCAGGCTCAGAATCTGCCTGGGAGATGCCAACAGGGCCGTGAGAATGGGTTGCTGGTGAGGCAGGGGCCTGTGGCAGTGGGGACAGAAGGGGATACTGAGGAAGCAGCTCTTAAAGAGGTAAAACCAACAAGGTTTGGTGACCAAGTTTGAGGGTCTGTGAGGCCCAAAAGGTTGGCAACTGCTGCTCTAAGGCACGCCCTAACGCCTTCCTTTCTCCCTTTTGTGTGTTATCTCCTAAACTCTAAGGGTCCCCATGAGACTTGTAACCAGGGGAGCATTGGGCAGTGGCAGCTCGTCCTGGGCTTACCCCCTGAACCTGTCTCCAAGGCCCCCTTTTTCTCTGACTTTCCAATGAGCTAACCATAGCCCCACCTTGGCTCACTTTTCACTGTGACTTTTCTCAATGAGCCAAAGCTCATTTCTCTCCTGTAACATTTCCAGAGACCCAAAGCAGCCCCGCCCAGGCTCTCTCCTGTTGCTTCTGCTGTCCTACGCCCTTTCTTTGCCTCCCTGGCCCCAGCTTTAACAAATGCACTCTCAAAATCACCTGGATTTGCACTGGGAAATCTTTCCTGCACTAAGTCAAGAACTCACAAGCTATAGGCCGGCCGGAAGCAGACCTGCTCAAGGCCCAGGTCCTGTCCAGGAACAATGTCCCCATTTAATTTTCACACCAGCTTTGTGTGGTTGGTGCTGTTGCTCCCGTTTAGACTAAGTAAACTGAGGCTCTCAGGGATTCAGTGATTTGCTCAAAGCCATACACTGAGTCCCAGCCCAAGTCTCCAGACTTAGGCACCCTGCTGCCTCCCAGAGAGGGAGGGTGGGTGGCAAAGCCCCAGGTGTAGTGCCACTGTGCCACTCTTTGTATCTTTCCTTTAAAAAAATATTTATTGCTGAAAGTATTACCTATGTCCTTTCCCCCCCATTGACCTCTTCTAGCCCCACCCCAGGCCTTCACCACCCTATTGTCTGTGTCCAGGGGTTATGTATCTTAAACCTTCTTCAGGCAGTAACGCCCTAAGGCTTGTGGGCCCCAGGGCCTCTTCCTTCAGAAGTACCTGACTCGGAGTTCTCTGGTACAGTTTTCCCCAAAGTGGAAAAATGTTATACCTTCAAATGTCTGCTCCAGGGACTAAGGCTGCCCTAAGTCCTGGCAAGAACACTCCTGACTTTGCGAAGCCAGTGGCCAGGTGGCAACCTCACCCTGCCTTGGGTTTCTCAGGCTGCTGCAGTGGGAGGGGGCATTGAAGGCTATGTAGTTTTCCAGGCAGAGGAAAGAAGATATGATGCAAATTTTTCATTCTTTGTTTTTTCCTTCAGGTGGAGAGAATATTAGAGAATGGGTGAAAAAAAAATACTTTATTTTTTCATTGTAGACTTACCTCCTGTAACAACTATTTGGGTCAGGGCCAAAGGGGTTGTGGGGCACACCCAAGGTGGATTGAATGAGCCCATGTTTCCCTTGGGGAAACAGAAGCTGCACTGACATCTTTGCAGCCACATCTATTCCATAATTTCCTTCCGTGATTACAACTCAGAGGCTATTTGCTTATTTCCTGTTTATTTGTAACCAGAGGCCAATGCACGAAATTCGTGCAAGAGTAGGCCTTCCTTCCCCAGGCTGCTGGCACCGGCACCGGCTTCCCTCTGGCACCTGGGACCCGGGCTTCCCTCGCAGCCCCGGCTTTGTCCGGAAGGTCGTCTGGAAGGCCGTCCAGAATGATGCCAGGTCTAAGTAGCATATTATGCTTTTATTATTATAGATACCATAATGGGCACCACTCACCTAGACACAAAATGTAATGGGGCACTAAAAATCTTAGTAATCAAGATAATACTGTAATTTTTAAAATCAAAATTAATGCAAAAGAATGATAAACCAAATAATATTTTAAATAGTTAGGATCTGGCTTTTCTTTTTGCTTCCAATTTTAGTATGACTCAGCACAGCACTGCTACTGATCTTGTCTCCGCCCTGCCCCACCATCACTCCTTTTCTCTTCTCAGGGGCATAAACAAACCATCCCCCTACATTACATTATGTGTATAAGCAGTGTTTCTTTTCCGTTGTTGCTTATTTTGTCAGTGTTTGTTGATCTATTTTTCCTGCAGTGAAAAGTATGTGGCTACCTTGAATTAGGACAGAATATGTGTATTACCCAATTAAATTTATGAAAATTTATATTTTTTCATTCAGCCGTTTTGCACTTATCACGAATTAATTAAAATGAAGTGAGGGATAGGTGTGCTTTTCCATTCTTAACGTAGTACAGCTACACACCACATATTCTAAAAGTATGGAAAACTACACACAAGTGCCCTGGTAGGTGTGGCTCAGTTGGTTGGTGTCATCCATGCACCGAAAGGTTGCTGGTTTGATTCCCCATCAGGGCACATGCCTGGGTTGTGGGCTCGATCCCGGTTAGGGGGTGTGCAAGAGGCAGCTGATCGATGTTTCTCTCTCCCTCTCCCTTCTTCTCTCTCTAAATGTCAATAAAAACATTTTAAAAAAAGAAAGAAAACTACACACAAGTCAGATGAACCCCCAACTCCCACTCAGCACTCCTCCTCCATTCCTTTTTGGGACATCATGTCCTGTGTTTAGAAGCTGGGGTTGTGGGGCACACCCAAGTAAACTTTCAAATATGCAAGTCAGTGCCCCCCTCCCCCGTCACTTCCTACTCACACCTCCTCTCTAGGCTCAGCACTTACAACCAGTGCTGCACTGAGCCCTGCCCAAGTAGTAACTAACACCCCAAGCAAGGAATTACTATGAAAATGACTTCCCATTTATAGAGAGGCAAACAGGCACGGCACAGCGACCAGGCAGTAAGAGAGCCAGGGTGGGAACTCCTGGCCTCTGGCCATGCTGACCCCTCGTCTCATGTCAGGCTCCTTCAGACTCCCAGGACCTTGCATAAACCCTGCCCTCCACCAGCAGGGCCACCCCTGTCAGCTTGGCGAGCTCCCCCTCCTCACCACTCCTCCCAGCCTACCTGCTAACTTGTTCAACTGATCGCTCATCCTGTCCTTCAGCCCTTACAGCTTCCCCTACTGGACCAACACAGATGAAATGCACTGGAGAGGGAAAGGAAAAGATTCCCCCAAGTTCTGGAAAACAACAAGAGTAACAAGTGTCAAGTGACATGAAACAACTGCAGGGAGGGCCACCATGCCCAGCATCCCGCCGGTGGAAGAACAGTGAGCTTCTGACTCTTCCCCCAGCTCCGAGCACCACTCGGATTTCAGCCTGCTGTTCCCAAAGCAGACGAGCGAGAGGCCTTGGGGTGCAGCTCTGTTGCCGATGGACGATGGACGTGGGTCCTTGAGGTGTTGAGAAAAAAATCATTTTGGGAGACCCACAAGGGAGGATGAGGTCTGGTGGTAAGATTCATTTGGGTGGAAGTAGAAGGCAGTTCCCCATGTCCCATCGCTGTCCCTCCTGCCATGGGACATCAGGGCCAGAAATAGACCCAGCGTCCAGAGACCCTGGGCCACGTTAAAGCCGAGTCCAGTCCACAGTTTCTCACCACCCGGCTGGCTTGGTTCGGGTTCCTGGCTGCAATCCTAGCTGTGCTGCTGTATCCAGGCTCGGCCTGGAGCCTGTGTTTAGAGAATGGCCATGCGACTGCTAAGGCCACATGGCTATGGAGTGAGAACAAGTGAAGGAAAGGGTGAGCGTGTGCTATTGAGAGGGAGGGAGAGAGGGACTGGCTTTGTTTCCTGGGATTAGATTACCTGGGTTTGGGAAGGACCCGTGTATTCAAAGTAACCAATCAACTTCCAAGCTTCCGGAGCTTCTGATGGGACCACCCCAACCAATCCATTCTTCCCCCAGGCTTGACTGACAGTCCTCTGTGGCCATTTGGCTCTATGCGCATGCCTCATAGAAGCACCTCCCTGAGCCAATTTACTCCTACTCCGCACTGTGTACCTCCCCCTTCATTGTTCTGTCCCTTGCCCCAGTGATTGGCAGGAAAGGACCAGTGGTTCCCTGGGAGTGTGTGAAGCTGTAACTTCCTGGTGAAACAATAATGTCTGATTCCCTTTGCTTTCTTCCTTTAAGATCTAGCTACCTACACAACACCTGGGCCTCAGGGACCAGATAGGGGCTATGTAGGGGTCTGAAAGCCTGAAGGGCATCCTGAGAAAGCCACCTCTGACCTCCCTAATAACGTCCAGGAGGAGGCTGGCCTGGGGCTGAGGGGAAGTGGAGGTACAGTCCCCCTCTTGGAACGAGGCCCAACACAGCCAGTGGCCAGTGGGGTGGGGAGTGGGAGAGTCAGGGCTTCCTCCCCCTTTCACTTCTCTGCACCCACTTCTCCCGGCCCTGCATCCTGGGATTGCAGAGCCAGTTGCTGCCAGGCCTCTCCTCGGTCCTGCCTGTGGCCCAGCCTGTCCCGGTGCCTGGGATCATGGGCAGGGATGATCAGACACTTCGGCCATATGAACAGCCTTCCTTAGAGAGTAAGTGCTCAGTGAATGAGTGCTAGAAATGCTATGGCTCAGAAGCCAATCCTTACTTGGCCTGAGGGGGAAGCAGCCTGCGTCCTCAGTCAGCCCTATCCCACTCAACATCCTCCAGGGCCCCCAGGCCAGGCAGTTGGTCAGTGTGACTTCACCAACAAGGAGCCCAGGGGAAAGCTGTGCCCTGAGGGGAGTCCTGCTCCGGGGCAGGGGTGTGATGAGGAGTTCAGCTGGGAGATTTCAGGGCCCCCACAAACAGGGGTTGCCTACTCAAGACCCATAGACCCAGGGCAACCCCTAATCCCTGAGTAGCCCCTGCTGGGCACCTAAACCTCTCCATGAGGGTCCCCAACTCCAGAAACTGCCCCTACACCCCATCTCACCATCTTCCCGGGCTCAGGTTCCCAGTGAATTCAAGCTTTATTGCCACACACTCTGCTGCTCCCTCCTGGCCATCTCTGTGCCTGTGAGAAGGTGGCTTGGTTTTAGGAAGCAAGCAGCCAGGGAGAGCCAGAGTGGAGGGGAGGGGGACCTGGGGAAGGAGGCTAAGAGATCCCACCCCAGGTTTCCCTGAGTGGTGCCCAGCCCAGGGCTGAGGGGGCTGGTTTGTGCACGGGGGAGGAAGCTCATCCTAGGTAACCCTCCCTGGGGCCTCCAAGCACACCAGGGTAGGGAGCCTCAACGAGTCTCTTCCACACACCACGATGCCCTGGAGGGTGCAAGGAGCACACAGTGGAGCACATGGTCGACCAAACCACATGCGTAGTCCACAGGGAGCCCGTGGCCCAGTGTCAGTCAGCAGTCCAGGCCAATGGACACCAGCAGGTCCTCAAGTGCGTGTAGCCGCCGCTCCATCTCCTTAATGTTGCTGTAGGTCTGCACCACGCTGGTGATGTGGAAGCGGATGTCATCTACCAGAGGGATGGAGTCCTGCTCCTGCCGGCCTCTCACAGCCGCCGCCTCCTCCCTCACGGCCTCCGAGAAGTCCTCCTGCTCCACCAGCTGTGAATAGGCACACTCAGGGCACACCGCTGCTTGCCACCCACCACAGCCTGCCCCCACCCACTGCAGCTCCCACCGGCCCACCTTCTCGATAACCTTGGCCATGTACTCAGTGCACTGGTCCTCGAGGCGTGCCAGGCGGAACAGCTTGGCCACGCGCCACAGGCCCACCACACTGTCCTCATCCAGCAGCTGGGCCAGACTGCGGCCACACAGTCGTTTCAGGCCCGGCAACAGGTACATGTCGGCCATGCTCAGCACATCATAGGCCACCTCCGGGGGCACCTGCAGTGAAAAAAGGGATGAGGGAGGGTGCACCCTAAGGTCACCAAGGCCTCTCAGGGGCTGGCAGCAAGGCTGGGACCTGCTGGCCAGAAGGTGGAGGCTTCGGGCAGAGCAGAAGCTTCCTCCCCTTGCCAGGTACCTGACCCAGACCCCTGCAGGCATCCATGGGACCAGAAGGGACACAGAGTCTGGGGTTCCCATGGCTCAGGCAGGGCAGAGCCTGGGCTCTGAATCACACAGACCTGAGCTTGGAAATTCTAGCTGTGGGACCTTGGGCCAATCACGTCACCTCTGTGCTTGAGATCCTCTGTGAGATGCAGACACAATCATGTCTGCCTTAAAAGGCTGCCAGAAAAGTGACAGAAGTTGCTTCTGTAAAAACTGAGGCAAGGACCCTACTAAAAAGGTGGGGGAGTAACTATTTACCAGCTCCTTCCCACCCATAGAGGCTGTGGGATTGAGGGCACAGCCATAGCTGTACCCTGTGCTGGGAGAGACCATGTGCTCCACCCAGACGGTGGATGGCCACAGGGAGCAGGCTGGAAACGGAGCAAACAGGACCTCTGCTAAGCCCCTCACAGGCCATGTGCATGGTGCTTACTTGTGCCGGGCACTGTACTTGCAACATACACATTCATTTGCACAAGTCCTTAGGAGCTAATAACTATCAGTATCACCCTTTTCTAGAGGGGGAAACTGAGACACAAAACAGTTGAGTAACTAGCCCAAGATCACCCAGCTCTGGGGTAGGGGCGAGGCTAACCCAGAGTAAAACCAGGTTTGGAGCCCAAGTCCTTGCTCTGAGTCGTTAAGAAGTTGCCCTCTGGGTGGCAAAGCTCTTTCTAGGGTCAGGATGGGCCAAGGTGGATGCTAGGTGGCAGGGGCCAGAGAGCTGAACTATACCGCAGGAGAAATGAAATAAAGAGGTAGGAGGGGTTCTCTAAAGGGGTAGGTGGTAAATACTGTGCCACAGGGTCTCTGTTACAACTGCTCGGCTTTGCCATTGTGCAAAACCATCACAGAGAAATGAATGGGTACGGCTGTGTCCCAGTAAAAATGTATTAATGAAATGGGCTGTACGTGGCCTGCAGTCCAAGACGGACTAGCCTGCCAGAGGGTACTCACCTCCACCTGAAGGAGGAAGAAGCTTCTCTCTTCTGTAAGCTACCATATTTGGGGGCTTCTTTATTACAGTAACCTTTGCGTGTGCGCGCACACACCCTGCCAGAGAACACCCTGGCAGAGGGTACTCTGGCACTATCTGTTGCTGCCCATGTCACCCTATGTTAGGGGCGGCCTTGGGGCAGGTGAAGACACAGGGAGGCAGAGAACCCTAGGGGTCTGCAGCAAACTAAAGGCAGGGGCTCAGGGCTTCCCACTGTTGTGGGAACCCAGCGTCACTGTCCTCTGGCTGAAGAAGCTGGAGGCCCTAGGTGGCTGACACTCTGTCCCCAAGTGTCAAGTGCTCATGACATAGGTCTTGTCACTCATTCCTGTCGTGGATCTAATGAGGACTCCTCTGCCTGAAAGAAAAATCTAAGTGGGCCCCACACTCGCTCTCCAGCCTCATGGGAAACCTGTCCCTCAGAGCCAGTGAGGACCTGGGCAGACCCTTGAAGCCCCACAGTGACATGGGCTGTGTACCTGTCCTGACCATTGTGCCCCCCACCCCTTGCCCCTGGCACAGTGCACACAGCCCACCCCAGTCCGCACCTCAGTGTGGTTGGTGTATATGTAGTAGAGCACATGGGTGAAGACGTGGGGCGAGAGGCCATGCAGGGTGATGGCTGGGAGGCCACCAGAGGCCTCTAGCCCTTCATTCTCTCGGAAGTGGTCATCCAGCAGGGCCCGGAAGTAGTCGCTGCGGCCACAGAAGAAGGCCTGGGGGAGGCTGGGCTTAGGAAAGGCCAGGGCCTGGGCTATGCCCACAGAAGCTGGCCTAGGGCTTAAGACAGGGGTTTAGGGAGCTGTGGGGTGGACAGCACCTTGTGGCAGAGGAAGCTGCAACCCTCCACTTGGAAGCAAACATCAGGACAGCTGTTGAAGCCATCAGGGAAAGGGAAAGGCAACTCCCCAAGATCACCCTGGGGGAAGGGAGAGGAGACACCATTAGATAATGTAGGTGAGAGAAGGCAGAGTGGCTGGCCTCAGCCAAGAGCCCACTCTAGCTTGATCCTGGAGGGGTGAAGGGGGGTGAACTGCAACTTCATTTGCAGGTTTAAATACAAGACAAACAACAAAAGTAAACAACTAGGCTCAGAAAAGGGAAGTGAATGGCTCAAGGCCACAGAAGGAACTGAACCCCAATGTGGGGCTTGCCTACCACAGCTGTCCCCAGGTAAGTCACCTGCCCACCAGGCCCAGTCCCAGGCCCCTGTGTGCTTACTCGGAGCTCAGGGGGCAGGGCACAGTCAGCCAATAAGGCCAGGTCCTCCCGGAGCCGGGGGTCCTCTGCGGGGGGCCTCATGCTCAGCACCTTCACATGAGTGCCTGGCTTGGACGCCACTGCAGAGATAGTGCAGCTTCAGGAAGCCAGGTTGGCCCTGCCAGTTCCTGCCCAACGCCCTGGACCCCAAAGTCTGGACGTACCAAACTCAGACACTTCCTTGCACTTGGCCTCCAGGTCGTTGAGCAGATCCAATAGCTGGCACTGCTTGGCCAGGCGCTCACAGTCACTGATGTGTTCCACACCGACATCCAGGCCACCTGGGTGCAGCGTGGGAGGCTCAGAGCCCGAGAGCGGCCGTTAGCAGTGCCCAGGCACATAGAGTTTCATAGGTGGTCCCTCTGCCGAGACTTCTGGGCCTACATGCTGCCTTAATTTCCCCTCAAGAGCCATTGTCTGAGTTCTACAGACCCCAGAACAGATAAAAGGGGGCTCAGTTTTGGGGTGAAATAAGCTCTTCCCTAGCAGAGCCCAGCTCATTGTCTCCCAACCCAACCCAGGAGGCAACTGGAACTGCCTTGCAATGCAGGGGACAAAGCACCAGGTGGTAGAAGGTCAGCCCAAGGCTACAGCTGGACCTGCTGCTGGACAGAAACGCAGCCCTCTCCCTGCCCGCCCGACCCAGGCCTGGGGTGTCACCTGTGTACAGGTACTGCAGCAGGGCCCCAAAGGCCACAGCGTTGATCTGTAGGCAGAGAGCCGGGAAGGAAGGTCAGAGCCTGGTCCAGCACAAGCCCCCTGCTGTCCCTCTGCTCTCCCGCCCCAGAGAGGGATGCACCAGTGGATGTCTGAGGACCACGATGCTCTTGCCCTTCCACTTGGTATCCAGCATGTTGGCAAAGTAGCTGCTACGTGCACCCAGAATGCAGCGATGGGCCCGGAAGGGCTTCCCGTGCACCACAAAGAGCACATCACTGTGGATGCCTTGATCCAGAAGCCTGGGGGGGCGGGAGGGGGGGTAGAGAACAGGTGGAAGAGGGCTCAGGAGAGTGCCTCTCCTCCGTCTCACCACTCCAGTCCCTCATATCATCCTGTAGGAAGGCTCTCAGCCCCCTGCAGGCCACACCCATCACAGACCCACTGGGCAAAGGCCATCAGATGCCCCACACTCCATCTCACCGCTGCAGGAATTCATCATAGTAGTCCCGCCTCCTGGAGGAGGGTGTCACTTGCTTATAATCAAGCAGGGCCCGGCGGATGGTATCACTTGCAGCCCCATAGAAGCAGCGTTCACCGTGGAATGTGTTGGCCTCACAGCGGGCTCCTAAGGGCAGCAGAGCTCATCAGTTAGCAGGGCCATGGGGTGGCATGCTGCAGCTGGGGAGGGGCCTGGGGAAATCCTAATCTTCATCCTCCTCCTCCACTTCTCCCTACATGTAGGGCCCATAGCCCTAGAGACTCCTTCCTAAATGACCCTGGGCCCACTCTGACCCCAGGGCTCAGGCACACAGGCAAAGTCCTGTACACTCACATACACATATTCACTCACACATACCACAAACTACACAAAACAGAATAGGCTCAGAGACTGGCCCTGTTCTATGCACTGGGGACACTACCATTAAAAGACAGGTTCCTGTTCTCACTGAAGTGACACTCCAGTGAGGCAGAAGGACAATAAACAGATTAACAAATGATATCAGGTGCTATGAAGAAAAACAAAGCAAGATGAAGGGTGACTGTGATGGCAGCTGCCAGAGAGGGAGGCCAAGGAAGGGCACGGTGGCGGTGACAATGTACAGAGACCTGAATCAAGTGAGACAGTTGGCCATGCAAAGATCTGGGAAAGGGCGTTCTAAACAGGAGGACTAGCACGTGTAAAGGCCCTGAGGCAGAAGCAAGCTTGGAGCGCTGGAGCACCAAGGAGAAGACCGGTGTGGTTGGCACAGTGAGCACTTGGGAGAGCCAAAGAGGAGGCCAGAGAAGGAAGAGCAGGCCATGTAGCAGCTCCCAGGCAAAGCAAGGCATTCTAGTTCTATGCTAAATACAGTGGGAGCCATTAGAGGATTTTATTAAGCTCATCACATTTGTTGAGCTCCACTTGGCTACAACATAGAAAACAGACTGTAGGTGGGGCAGAAGGGGCAGCAATAAGACCAGTGATGAGGCTGGCACTGCATCCAGGGAGAGATGGTCCAGGGAGAGATGCTATAGCTGGGTTGGGCAGGAGCAATGGAGATGGAAAGTGGACAGAGGAGAGAATAGGTTCTGAAAGTAGAGCTAACAGTACTTGCTAACTGGGTGTAGGGGTGAGGGAGAGGACTTAAGGGTGTTTGCAAATGTGTACACACACTCTAGAGCCCTTGAAGACACGTACACACACACACACACCGGTGGGTGGTATTCCTGTCCCCTTCCCTCACCATTGGCCAGAAGGTAGAGTACCAGTTCTTCATGCCCACATAGACAGGCATAGTACCTGAGGGGGAGAAGGAAGGAGTACTGGGAGGCAGCTGTCAGGACTGAAGGGGCTGCCCACCCACCCTGACCACCCATCCCCTAGCACTCACAAGGGGGTACTATCCCACTTGTCCCATACATTCACATCCACGTCTCGCTGCTCCAGCAGGTACCTGGGCAGGGAAAGGGGAGGTCAGGACAGGCTCATAGTCTGGGAGAGAAGACACCTGTGTAAGGGGAAGGAGGGAAGACATTCTTTTTGGCTGAAGGAAGTCTCCCCCAGGTGAGGGCAGGTGACAGGCAGACCAGAGCAGGAAAGACATTCCAAGCAAAGGGGCCAGTGAGGCAGGATGTAGAGGTGGGAACACAAAAGGCAGACCCTGAGCTGAAGAGGCTGAAACTGGCCTGCAGGCATTTGGGAGTGACCCCCTGCTCTGCTTCCACAGGACCTCTGGCAGCTTGGGTCCAAAGAGGAAGCTGCTTGCAGGCATTCTGGTGGCAGGGAAGCATGGAAAGAAATAGACAGATTCTAGAAGGCGGAAGTCAGGAGGCAGGTAGCTGATGGAATGTCCAGGTAAGGGGGTCATCATGGATGGTGGTGGAGCCATCACTGAGCAGGGCCGCCTTGGGGGACATCCAGGTTGCACGAAGGAGTGCGGAGGAGCATTTAGCGTTGGGAGTTACCAACTAACTCCTAGGGGGCACCGATGTGAGGGAGGGGTCAAGGGAAGCCGTGGGCGTAAGTAATGGGGAAGGAAGGGCCAAGGAAGACAGGTTCCCCACCCCCAATAGGGCACTGTCTCCCTTCGTTAGAGCCATTGAGATGGCGATTTCAGCGCCATATTTGCTTTAGCTACATTTATCAATTTCTGAATCCCCGGTGACCAGAGGCCGATTCTGGTCCCTACATGTTCCCAACGCCAGGTCCAGAGGCATGAGAGGAACCACATCGGGAGTCCCAGGCCTGCCCCCAGTCTGCCCCCAGCACTCAGAGGGTGAACTTCCTCTCCGCCCACTTCTCCCGGCCTTCCGTGGCGGTCTTCTCCAGCACCGCCTCGGAGACCCGCCCCGCGCACCCCCGCAAGGGAGGCTGCCGTGGTCCCTCCGTGGCCTGTGAGCGGGGGGGGCTTTGGGGGGATCGAGTGCTGAGGCCAAGGCGCCCGCCTGTCCCGCGGCCTTCCCCTGCACACCCAGGGCTGGAGGCGCTCTGAGGGCGCCGCACTCTCCCGGGGCTGCGGGGTCCTCACCGCACTCGACCCACGTCTCCCTTCCTGCAGCTGGTGAAGAGGTCGCTGATATCCATGGCGCAGACGCGGCGGACGCACTGACGCTCCGGAGCCGGACGTAAACAGGCGCCGGCCCCGCCACGCCCCGCTCGCCACGCCCCTCCCTCCCGCTCGCCACGCCCCTCCCTCCCGCTCGCCACGTCCCTCCCTCCCGCTCGCCACGCCCCCCCAGCGCTCTCCCCACCCCTCCTCCCGCTCGCCCCGCCCCCGCCCCCGCCCCACCAGCCCCGCCACTCCCTCCCGCTCGCCACGCCCCTCTAGCGTTCTCCCCGCCCCTCCTCCCGCTCGCCCCGCCCCTCCCTCCCGTTCGCCCCGCCCCACCAGCGCCCGCCTCGCAGCAAAAATCAAGTCAGGCAGGCGGACGGGTTGGGCCCGGCGTGAGCTCCGGGAAGTTTTAATGGGGGTCCCGGGACCCGCCCCTCGGGACGTGGGTTGGGGTGGGGAAGGCTGTGCCATTATCGTTTCGGGTGGGGAGCGGGAGGAGCCGGCACCGGGAACCGGGCTGCGGAGGGTGCCGAGGCCGGGGAAGGAGGGGCGTGACTGCGCCCTGGGTCCGCCTTGCTTGTCCCGGCCCTGCGCCGGCGCCCGCCTCACAGGTGCGTGTCCTCCTCAAACACGTCCGAGTCCTCGGGGTCCCGCTTGCCCCCCATGAGCGCGCTCCAGCCCCCCGGGCCGTTGACGGCCCCGCCGCCGTTCAGGCTGGGCTGCTTCTCCTGCATCTCCGACTGGCTGTCGCTGGCCACGTCCAGCGTGGGGTTGTCGTGGCAGCCGTTCTCTACGAAGCGCAGCTCCTCGCCGTGCGACTGCGGGCCGGGACCAGGCTGCTGGGCGAGGGCCTCGGCCCCGGCCCCGGCCCCGGCCCCAGCCCAACCCACCAGCTGCACAACGTGCCCCGTTGACCTGACCTGTGACCTTGAACAAGTCACTTCATTGCTCCTTCCCTAGTCTGTAAGACCCTACACAGGGAACCCCAGGGACCTCCCACAGATGCCACTGCCCTCCTGCTCTCTTCTGCTCTGTTCCCACAGCCCAAATCCTTTCTTAAAATAATTCTACTGATCCTTTGACTAACACCAGCTGATCCCTCCCAACAGCCTCCTGATAGACTCCAAGGGACTCCTGGGAAAGGGCGTCTTGCCCTGCCCTCTCCTTTGTGAGGAGTCTTTCCTGGACCCCTGTGCTCTGCTGACCCAGGGCTTCTAGGGAGACATCCAAATGAGCTCAGACCTACAGGGCCACTCTGCCCAGGAGGGGCTGGTGCCATGGAGGGCTCCTGCGGGTGGGGCTGGTGCCCTGCACAGAAGGTCCACTGAGATGCAGGCTCTGGACAAGTGGCCTCACCTGCAGTACCCCAACCCAGGCCATTACTGCCAGCCCACCTGAGATGACAGAGTCTGCAGATGACAGCCTGCGGGGCACTCCCATCTCCACCAGCACTGCCCCCAGCCCACGACCTCTGCCCCACCTGCCCCCACACTCACCACATGTTTGAGCTTGGGCAGCCGGCGCTGCCAGCAATTGTAGAGCAGGCCCAGCACGATGATGATCACGCAGATGGCACCGATGACCACCAGCACCACAAAGAGCGTCCCGTAGTCACTGCGCACCTGGCTGGCCCGGGCCTGGCAGCTGCTGGTTGTGGAGTAGTTCTGGATGCCAATCTGGGGGTGGGAGGGTCCAGGCTCCTCAGCTGAGGCCCTGGGTGCCATGGCTCCCACCCCCGTAGGGCTGGGGCTTAGGAACAGGGACAGGCTTTGAGAAGGACCTGGCACACTCCTGGCTCCTGAAGCTCCCTGAGGGGCCTGGATCAGTGTTCATGAGGGACTCTCTCTGCCCTATGTCCACCCTGTTCACCTGGGGGCAGCTCCAAGCCTCTCTACCCTACATTTCTATTGCATGCCCCCCCCCCCCGCCCCAAACCCCCAGGATGGTACTGCCTGACCCTGACCCTGTGGGAAAGAAGTCTGGCTCAAATTCCATCAGGTTGTGACCCTACCCCCATCCCCCGCCCCTGACTGAGGCTGCTCATGCTCATGCTGCCAGTCATGATCCAAACTAGACTGAGTCTCCACACCTGTCCCACCAGTTTAAAAAGGAAGAAAACAGACAAGGGCAGCTGTGATCCCCTTGCCACACATCCTCCACCACACAACACCATTGAATTAGGCCCCTGGGTATTCTGGTATTATCCTGGTCATTATGGGCCAGAGACAGTGCAGGGGATACTGGGGACAGCCCACAGGGGCCACCCCAGCCTCCCAGCTCCCTCCCCTTTCCCACTGGAGTGGTCACCATGGTATTTAGCTGCCCAACCCCACTCCCACACTGCAGGTTGTCTTAGGTGGGCCTGCTTTCTCTGGTCCAGAGGCTGCTGTGCCCTGACCTGGCCCAGCAGATGTTTTCTCCACAAATCAGCATCCAGGCAGAAAGGGAGCAAAGGTGAGGTGCCCTCCTCAAAAGATACGTGCTCTTTCCTGGCTCCCGATGCAGAGCTGGGAGCCCCCTTTTTGCCTTGCACTCCCCTTTCAAATGCCAGTTATTCAGCTCTCCTTTGGTTTCTGTGAATCGCCTATATATTTCCACTACCTTCCTCTATTGACTGAAGTTATTAAGGGTCCATATATCTTGCTAGAACTTGCTAAATTTGCCCACTAATATACTTCAAAGTGCCCGGCATGCCTTTGGCCATGTCAGTCAGCATGAAGTGTCCAGTAAAGCCAGAACACCCAGGGACTGGGAGAAGAGTCAGGAGAGTCTATAAAAAAGATCAAGGGCAGCCTGTTCCCCACCAGTTCTCGGGGTTCACAAACCAAGACTTTCACAACCAGAACAGCCCTTAGTATAGACACTGCATTGTGGTGGCCCCCAGCTGGCCAAGCACTGCAGACTCTCATGGTCTCTGAAGAAATGCCCAGGCCTCTTGTGCTTTCTCCTGTGGTTCTAGACCAGGGGTGGGCAAACTTTTTGACTCGAGGGCCACAATGGGTTCTTAAACTGGACCGGAGGGCCGGAACAAAAGCATGGATGGAGTGTTTGTGTGAACTAATATAAATTCAAAGTAAACATCATTACATAAAAGGGTACGGTCTTTTTTTTTTTTTTAGTTTTATTCATTTCAAACGGGCCGGATCCAGCCCTCGGGCCGTAGTTTGCCCACAGCTGTTCTAGAGCCACAGCACGTGCTCCCACCCACCAGGCTTCTGAACAGTCCCTTGGCCAGACATATTCGTAGTGTTTCTCCCACTATCTACCCAGAAAACTCCCAGCTGGCAGTCCCTGGCTGTCCCATGCACAGTGCAGTTGATAGCTAAGTGCTCACATACTCTGTCTCTCCCATGGGGACTGTGTCTTAGGAGACCTGAAAGGAAGAACTACAGAGTAAGAGTTTGTGTTTTGCTCCTTGCACCACATGGTGCAGGCCACCTTCCTGCCCTCAGGGATGGTAGCCCGGCTGCCAGAGCTTTAAGGAACAGGACGGGAACTCGTCCCTGCCCTCTTACCTCCACCAGACTCCTGCGGATATCACCCAGCATAGAAAGGACATCTTGAGTGGGCATCACCCCTGGGGGGAGACAGCATCATCAGTCCAGCCTTGGCCACTGAGGCGCTCCCCCTTTGGACTCCTGGTCCCCTCGGACAGCCTCTGGCCTGAGTTTCTAGAGCCTCACTCCCTGGCTCCCTGGTATATACACAACCACTCTCTCCTCTGCTTGCTGCCCACTGATTGACTCATTAAGAAGATTCAGTGAGTGCCTACTGAGTGACAGGTGTGATACCAGGCGGTCACTTCCACAGCTCCTTAAGTCTGCATTCTGAACACATTCCTTCTCAGCCCACCACAAAGCATACAGTGCCACTGTCTGGCACCTGCACTGAAACCACACTCTTCCCCCTCCTATTCCCAGTGCCCACCTTCCTCCTCCTCCTGCCTTCAAGCTTGTTGTTGGTACTCCTGGATCCTAAACTAGGAGGCTCAAGCAGCACCTCATCCTATCCTAAAAGCCCACCCCACATCCAAAAGCCCTGGCTGCACTTTCTCACAGCTCTGCGGGAGAGCTCCCGTGGCCTTGGGAAACCTCTGCTGGTTTGGCCTGCCTCCCACTGCCTTCTTGGACCCTCTCCCCAAACATACCAACGCCACCCCCCTCTTGTGGGTGCCCCTCCCCCCGCTCACCCTGCTCGCCCACCAAGGTCATTAGAAGGTGCTGCTCCTTCTCACTGGGCTTGCTCAGGGAGATGTGCCAGTCCCCGTGGTGGCCGCTACCGTGCCGGGGTAGCACCTCCTCCACCAGAGCCAGGAACTGCAGTCCCCAGTGCTGCCGAAACACCTCCTACGGGGGCAGAAAGAGAGCCTGTGCTCAGTGAGAGAGACAGCTCTAAATACCCCTGCCTGGAGGCCCAGCCCCACCCCCCCAACCTCCGCCCATCAGCCAAACCCTGGGAAAGGCCATCTGGCTCTTTCAGACGGGGCTGGTCTGGACCACTGGAAAGGCTGTGAGCTTTGCCATCTAGAGGACTGTGGGTTTGTTGCCTACAGGCATCCAGGTGCTCTTTCCCACCTTGGCTTTGCACCATGAGGAGGGTGTGGGGCCTATCCAGGGATACTCGCAGTTGAGCTGGGGGTACAGATAGGCTCACATATGATGACAAGTCCAGGAAGTGAGTGTGTAACACGCGAAGGAGTATGGAAGACTGCTCATGGTGCGTCCGTGTTCAAGTGTATAGTGTAAGGAATGAATATTTTGGGGTGCAGGGATAATAGAAACAACAACAAGATATTTTCAACCATACAGCCCCCAAAGATCAGGAGGTGAGGTGGGAAGCAGTCTAACTGTGCTCATCTCTCTTCTGTCATTGTAGAGATACAGCATAAAGTTGGGGAATCAAGAAAGATGTCTGAGTACTCTAATGCTGGTGGTGGTGGCCAGAAGAACTAAGCAGAGATGGTTAAAATGGTAATCCCCCACCCAAAAAGAAGCAGGGCTGGGAGCAAGAGGAGGGATGTAAGGAGACTTCTTTCTCATCTGACACTCTCTTGTACTGTTCAGATTGTCTTGGGGGGGGATATATATATATATATTCCTGGTACTGAG